CAAGGAGTGGGGGGAGGCACTGGGTGCGCAGCCAAGGAGGGAGCCTCCTCAAAGCTGATTTTGCACTTGCCCAGCTTCAGGAAGGAGGTGTGAGGGCTCGGACAGGGTCCTAGTGTCCTCATGCATCCTTCCCAAAGGTGGGAAAAAGCTAAACAGGCTTAGGGAGGAGGGAGGGAGGGCTCTAGGACCCTGCCAGAGCCTCAATCCTCCTTCCCAGTGCCTTTGTGATGGCCTGGGATTCCGATTCAGAAGCTGAACTGGAGGAATCCCAGCCTGCACAGGAGTCCCCGCCTCCAGGGCCGGCTGAACTGGGGCAGGGCCTGGATTCTGAAGCGCCTGCACCTGTGCCGGATCCTCAGGAGCAGGCACCAGGTGAATCCACTCTGGCTCCAGAGGTCGTTGAGGACTCAGTGCCTACAGGTGAGTCTCCCCCTGGGTCCAGTAACCCTTCAGCCTCTCCTGAACTGCAGAGGCTCAGGGCAGAGAGGCGAAGGGAACTGGTTTCTCCCAGGAGGAGTGCTCGCCTTAAGGCCAGGGGAGTCGGGTCTCCTGGGGGCCGGGACCGCCCCTGGCCTCAGAGAAGATAAAGGCCAGTCAGCCCGGTCCGAGGTTGCGGGAGCAACGTCGTCATTGAGTACCTGCTCCTACCCGGACCCAGACCTGACCTTCCAGCGTTCCTGTCCCCGCCCGGCTTCCTGCTTCGGACCTTGCCTCGCTCCTTGTGAACTGTTTCCAGGCTAGTGACTCAGGACTGAACTTTGACTACGATAACGGTAACCTCCCCCCCGGGACAAGCACAGCCTTGTTCACTGGGCTAAAGCCAGTGCCAGGAGGGCTGGGGGGAGGGCATCAAATGTTGGCCTCACACAAGTGCAGCATATTACCAAGGTCCACCCCTGTTTGTAGAATGATCAGGCCATGCAAGTGCATCCGTACTATGTAGCCCTCCCTTTCCTTTAGTTAAATGGCTTTCTCCCATCATGGCAAGCTCTGCCCAGGTTGGCCTGTAGCACAGGGCAGAGAGGAAAGCAGCAATTGATCAGACTTCGAAGAGTGTGGGGCACAAGCAATGGACCAGGAAAGTGACCCAGTATCGGACTCTGGGCAGAGGAGGAATGATGGAGACTGCCTCCCCAGGCTGACCCTTCCCGAGAAGAAGGAGACAGTTCAGAATTACAATAGGGGTTTGAGGGAGGTCACAGCTCAGAGGAAGATGACACTCTTCATGACCCCATGGACCAGAGCACGCCAGGCACTCCTGTTTTCCACTGCCTCCCGCACTTTGGTCAAACTCATGTTCGTAGCTTTGAGAACACTATCCAACCATCTCATCCTCTGTCTTCCCCTTCTCCTTGTGCCCTCCATCTTTCCCAACATCAGGGTCTTTTCCAGAGAGTCTTCTCTTCTCATGAGGTAGCCAAAGTATTGGAGCCTCAGCTTCAGGATCTGTCCTTCCAGTCAGCACTCAGGGCTGATTTCCTTCAGAATGGATAGGTTAGAATGGATAGATCTATCTATCTATCATCTATCTATCTATCTATCTATCATCTATCTATCTATCTCTATCTATCTATCTATCTATCTATCTATCTATCTACATCTATCTATCTCTATCTATCTATCTATCATCTATCACCTATCTAATAAAATTTATATACATCTGAATACTGCCCTTTAAATGGAAGTTTTTAATGTTAAAAGTTTTATTATGTTTTCATATATACTTGAAGCGGTCCAAAGTGGTTGGGACAACTTGATGGTAGAAAACCTCAGAGCCATTTCCAAAAACAGAGAGAATAAAACAACAATATTATTAGTAAGAACAATTAAACTTTTTTTAAAAAAACAACAACAATAAATTAAATACCTTAACACCAGCAGTTCTGCCTTGTGGGTTGGCCCTATAGAGCCATTGATTTGAAAAGAAGTTGTTGAGTCAGATCAGCATGAATGTGGGTGGGTGGGTAGGAGAGAAAGCAAGAGTTTGAATGACCCCCATTAAAGTTTCTGTACCTCCTTTGGAAAACAAAAACCACAAAAAACAAAATATACAAGATTAGCAGCCTTGTTCCTTTGATCTGCCCATTGATCACCGTAGTGCTTTGCTCTTTCTTTTGAATATGTAAAATTGCCTCTGTGACAAGCAACATGTCTTCCATTCAAGGGCAGCCGGCATTATGAATAGAGCCTTCCTTTCACTCTTTTTCCTTTCTCTTTATGACGCCGGCCTTGTTATTATCACAATGTTCCAAGTCCTGCCAATGCCAGACACTTTTGGACTTCGACTCTGAAATTTATTTCTTCCCCTCCAATCTTTTATCCCTATACATAGATCTGTTGGACACCGACGTGGCTTAATTCATTCGCTGGCTGGGACAGCAAGAGGCTAAACTGACTGAAAATCAATGTCCACAGCCAACCAGTTAATAGTTATTGGAGCTGGAACCAACCAGGCTGGTCCTAAAATAGCCTGATGTGTTTTGCTGTGTACTGAAAACCAGAAAGGCTGTGAGTTGTAAAGTACCTTAGGAAATTAAGTTATTTCTGTGTTGCAACCCCCATGGTTCGTGGTGGCAATCCAGAGTGTTAAAATTGGGTTTGCTCCTCCCTAGGCCTAATCTGATGTTCTGACTGTTTCTGCCGGAAAAACTCACGTCAGAATTTGGATTCAGCAACGTTGGGCTCCTCATCCTGCCTTCTCCACATTCCCACATTTCGGTGCAAATTTCTCCTCATATACTTTTGTATGCCATTTTGCCAAATATACACAATGTTGCAAAGCAACTTTCCCTAATATAATGCAGTTTGGGGTGTTGTTTTCACTAATATGTGCATTTTATGCCCACTTCACCACTACATGTGCATTTTTTGTACACGTTACTTAGCTGGGTAGTTGCATTTTGAAATCTGGAGAAGTGTGAAGCTGAAAGGATCGATGCGTTTCCACTCATGTATTGTTTTGGAAAGTGTGGATTAGGTAAGTTCACCTTTCAATGTAAATAATCAAATTTCTCACCCTTCCATACTCCTGGATGCCCCCTGGTTGTTCCGTCTGAGCTCCCTGGCTGTCCTTTCCATTGGAGGTCAGAGTTAAGTATCCTGCACTGTGGCACCAGGTTTGAAAACGTATTTCAGCTGGCTTCTACAGATCCTCTGTTTCTGTTTCCCTTGTGAGAAACCATTCCAGTGGCGGTGGGATAATGGAGGTGGCAGGAGGCTGCATCCCAAGATTCATTCGTACAAAAGTCTGATGTTTCTACACATCCACCCACATGGGGGGTATTTCTGTATCCTGGCAAACCAAAGGTACTGGTATCACAGGCATGGATCACAGTTCAAGGCATATTCCCCAATGCCCAACAAGTTCAAAACTCTCCAAAATCAACCCCATCGTCTCATCCACATGTTGAGACTAATGATGCTGTTTTGTTGAGTTCATTGTGTTTTTATATTCGATTTTTATCCGTACTGTTTTACATTTAAGGCAACATTTAATTTTCTTGTTAATTGTGCTGCTTTAAATACTTCCAACTTTCCTCTGTTGGATGTTTTGAATTTTTTTATGCTTTAAGTTGTAAACTGCTTTTTGTGTTATTATTTTTTAAATCTAAAGCAGTAGAGAAATGATTTCCATAAATAAAACAGAATAATGGCAAACACTGGAACTTACCTTTTCAAGTTATGATTCTCATCACCTTTAGAAAGTGTGGGGAGACTTTGGGAAGGAGACACAGTTTTCATTCCCTCTCTCCTCACATCTGTTTGTGGAAAGATACGACAGCTTGGCATATTATGTAAGTACGAATTGCATCTAATTGTAGTTATGCAAGGAGCACTGCAATTATAATATCATACCACCATTAGTGCACTGCGTCATGCACACATGTAATGTTTTCTGCACCCACATCCACCAAGATTCAGTTCCCAGCTCTGTGCATACAAAACTTGGGGATACATTGTTCTTCTTTGAACTACTGCCCCATCCAAGAGGGCACCCATCTCCTACAGGGGTATCACAGATCCTCCAAATGTCCTTATTTTCTAGGAACAGCCCTGGATTTACAGGTTTCTGATGTGTCCCTCTTTTCCTTAGGTAAAGGCAAAGGGACCCCTGACCGTTAGGTCCAGCCGCGGACGACTCTGGGGTTGTGGCACTCATCTCGCTCTATAGGCCGAGGGTGCTGGTATTTGTCCGCAGACAGCTTCCGGGTCATGTGGCCAGCATGACTAAGCCGCTTCTGGCAAACCAGAGCAGCACATGGAAACGCCATTCACCTTCCCGCCGGAGTGGTACCTATTTGACTGCTTGCACTTTGACGTGCTTTCGAACTGCTAGGTGGGCAGGAGCAGGGACCGAGCAACGGGAGCTCACCCCGTCGCGTGGATTCGAACCGCCAACCTTCTGATCGGCAAGCCCTAGGCTCTGTGGTTTAGCCCACAGCGCCACCCACATCCTTTTCCTTAGGACGTCCCTATTTTCACTGAGGAAATGTTGGAGGGTACGGAGTAGGACATCCCTGTTTTCACTGGAGAAATTTTAAAGGGTATGGAATAGGATGTACCAATTTTCACAGGAGAACTGTTGGAGGGTATGTTATGGCCTTCTGTAAAAGGAAGCACCCCTATGGAAATTGGGCATTGAAATAAATGGGCTCTGGACATAAAAAGAGTGTGCTGACATAAGATATGCATCTAGCCCAGTACAGTGGTACCTTGGGTTAAGTACTTAATTCGTTCCAGAGGTCCGTTCTTAACCTGAAACTGTTCTTAACCTGAAGCACCACTTTAGCTAATGGGGCCTCCTGCTGCCGCGCCATGATTTCTGTTCTCATCCTGAAGCAAAGTTCTTAACCTGAGGTGCTATTTCTGGGTTAGCGGAGTCTGTAACCTGAAGCGTATGTAACCTGAAGCGTATTTAACCCGAGGTACCCCTGTATTATCTGCACTGACCGGGAATGGCTCTCTAGGGTTTCAAACAAGGCGTCTAGCCCAGACCCACCTGGGGTCACCGGGGATTGAACCTGGAGCCTTTCTCATGCAAAGCCAATGCTCCACCCCTGAGCTTTGGCCCTCCTCCAGATCCTCTGTTTCTGCTTCCTTGTGCCAAACAGGACCTCTCGCTTGCCTGACTCTGGGGCTCTGTGTGCTCAACAAGCACAAGATTTAGAGCAACAACCCAGAATCACAGCGTGAGCCTGTCATCCCCAGTTCAGAGCTTCAGAGAGAGAGCTAGGAGGCATCTCCAAACTGTAGTGATAGGAAGAGAAGACAAGGGAGCCCATGCTGGGCTATAACGTACTCTCACTAAGTCGCACAACAGGAGCTCGGAGAGTAACTTATCTCCTTTTGCTAGAGGATGGAGAGCCAGCCAGGAATTTAAGTTACATCAAATAATTTGACATACTTGTATCAGGGAAAGTGATTCATGAAATCTGAATTTTTAATTCCAGGCCCGGAGACAATTTCTTTATTAACGTGCCTTTTGAGATGGCTCAGTCGTTCCACACGTTCCCACCCCCACATTTAAATTCCGAATCTTTTTATAGGTCACTTCCTTTTTGCTAGCCAACCCAACCCCATTCTTCCCTGGGGTCCTAATCAATTACCACCCTGCTATATTGCATTTGATGGGAAGCTTGTGTGCCCAATTAATTCAAAGATGCATTAAAGTGAAAGGCTTCACAATGGAGATGAACGCATCTTCCTTTCTGTCATGTCTGGGGCTCGTGAATTAAATTTAAGGAAATGTTAACGGAATTGTCAATAGCGCATTGCAGAAAGGTCATAATGGGGCTGGCTTTAATAAATGGGATTTTTTGTGTGCACGTTATTTCTTTATTATATTAGAATGCATTTTTCCCCTATTGTCTTCTGAAAGTGGATGAGAACAGTTTCCACCCATTAGCGTGTCTGTGGCGCTGTCATAATTGAAATCTTTGCTTCGCTACATCAGGCTTTGGTACCTTCTTAGCTAGCACTATAGAATTGGATTTCTCTCTCCGCCCCCCCTTGCATCCCTCAGTCTGTGATTATAATTAAACAGTCCTTGCCTTTGACGATACGTCAGAGAGGTGAACTGTGTAGTGGTTAAGTGGCTCATTAGAATGATTTCAGTTGACACAGCCAAGATTTCTAATTCCACACTAAATACTTTACAGAGTTGAGATTTAAGCCACCTCTATGACTTGGAATCAGAGAATCACAGAATTGTACGGTTGCAAGGGACCGCCAAGGTCCTCTAGTTCAACCCCCTACAACTGATATACTTTATTGTCACTTGTACAACTTGTATACAGTGAGATTACACGAGCACCCCCCACTCAGATCTCTTAGTCTTAATTCCCCTCGTTTACTGACGCACACCCACCAAACCCAAAAGTCAGTTGTACTGTTGTTATCTTTTCATTCAGCAGCCTAACAGCCCACGGATAGAAGCTGTTCTTTACCCTGTTGGTGCGACTAATCATGCTTCTATATCTTCTGCCCGACGGCAGGAGATCAAGAAAGTGCCGGCCAGGGTGTGAATCATCCCTGAGAATTTTCCTCACTCTCCTGAGGCAAAGTTCTTCTGCTATTTCATCCAGCGGATTCACGGGACAGCCCATAATATCTTGTGCTGTATTCACCACCCTCTGTAGGCACTTCCTATGGTTGATGTCAAACCAGCGTACCACACCGTGATGCAGTATGAAAGGACACTTTCTATTGTGGACCGGTAGAAGGAGATCATCAAATGTTGATTGACATCGTTCTTTGGCAATACTCTGAGGAGATGGAGTCTCTGTTGGGCTTTCTTAACCACCTGGGTTGTATTGATTTTCCAAATAAGGTCTTCACTGAGATAAGCTCCTAGATAAACTCTCCACACAGCCCTCCCCGATATACAGCGGGGCTAGTTCTCCTCTGTTCCTCCAAAAGTCCAACGCCATCTCCTTTGTCTTGCTGATATTAAGGTGCAAGTTGTTCCCTAGGCACCATGTAGATATTTTTTGGACCTCCCCTCTATACACTGATTCGTCTCCACCTGTTATTAAACCCATTATGGTGGTGTCATCTGCAAACCTAATAATTGCAGTAGACGGGTCAGATGATACACAATCGTATGTATACAATGAATACAGGTTGGGACTTAGCACACATCCCTGTGGTGTGCCAGTGCTGATTTTTAAGGAATTAGATGTTACATGTCCAATCCTCGCTGTTTGTGTCCGATCTATCAGAAAGTCCTTAATCCAGTCACAGATGGCAGAAGAAAGGAGTGCAGGAATCTCAGCTAAAGCATCCATGACAGAGGGCCATCCAGTCTCTGCTGATAAACCTCCAAGGACTTATATAGGCGCTGGAAAATCTAGCAACCATTTCAGACCAGCGAGGTAAGCAAAGGGTGCCAATCGTACCCAGCTCTGTGATTCACTGTAACTTCTCTCGCTAAATAGGTTGGGGAAGTTGTAGCCCTCCATATTTCATTGGACTACAACGCCCATCAACCCCAGTAAACATGGCCAAAGGTCAGGGGTGATTGCAGTTGTGGCAGTGGCAGCAACAGCAGCCCGTAGGGTGGTTCAGGAAGGGCTGAAGCATGGGGAATAAAGCACAGTGTAGGCTTAGTGGTACGGCCAAGTCAACACTCCTGCCACTATGTCTGGCTTCTTGGAAAATGCCAGCTACATCATACTGTTGAGAAAACAGGTACACAACCCTGCCCTGGCTACAACGCCACCTCAATCACTGCCGAGTTGTAGTCCAACAATACCTGGACGGCCACAGGATCCACATCCATGCTCTAAAAGACAACAACTTTCCTGACGTGTCCATTCTGCCATATATTTTCCACACTTTTAATCAATGCAATTAATTATATTTAATTTTAACACAAACCTGGTGTTCTCCCAAGGGCTCAGAGCAGGAGTGTGTTAATTACAAAGGCCCTAACAGCATCAGTTAAAACCCATCTTGCCTTATTTCACCCTCTGACGATTTGAATTAAAAGAATTCCATACCCACCTAAATCGGGACGCTCCATTTTTTTAGTCCCAGGCTCTAGTGTAAGCACAAGAGGACAAGGCCCAAAGATGCTCTAGTGCTCTGGCATGACTGAGCTGAATCACAGCAGAATGCTGGACCGAAAAGGAGTGCCCGGTGCTCTGGTGTGACCCTGCTGATTTACACCAGAGTGATCGTCTTTTGGTCCAGAGCATGGGATAAAAAAATGAAACATTCTGGGATCCAGACAGAAGGCGGGATTGGCTTCTGTGATTCTTTGATGTTCCACTTAAAATGCGACAGTTGCTGTATAAAGTTAGTAATAAATGTTGGAAACGTAAAGAAAAAGAGGGAACATTTTATCACATGTGGTGGGAATGTAAAAAGGTGAAATGCTTCTGGGAGATGATATATAATGAGTTGAAAAAAATGTTGAAATATACATTTATAAAGAAACCAGAAGCATTTTTATTGGGCATTGTGGGGAGTGACATAAATAGAAAGGAATGTAAGCTCTTTTTATATGCTATAACAGCAGCAAGAATATTATTGGTCCAAAAATGGAAGCAAGAAGAGTTACCGACGATCGAAGAATGGAGGATGAAGTTAATGGACTACACAGAATTAGATAAACTAACAGGAAGGATTCGAAACCGGCGAGACCAGAAATTCATGGAAGACTGGAGTAAATTTACGGACTATTTGAAAAGTAATTGTGAAGAACAGACGGCGTTTGTAGGGTTGCAAGAAATTTTGTGAGGAGTATTATTAGAAGTATTGTAAAAATGGTCAAGGGGGAGGATGATTTGTTAAGAGATGTAAAGGCAATATACAGTTAAGAAATGCATAAGAAGTGGTTAAAATGGTGGATCATCAGAGGTGCTGATGGAAGTCTAAAAAGATTGTATAAGTGATAAGTTTTGTGGTACATTTTATAATTTATATGTTAAAATTAATAAAAAATATTATTTGAAAAATTGGGACAGTTGAGGGGTATGGAATTCACACTGCTCCTTGAAGCTTTGAGCTTTAGCAAGTCTCCAGGTGAAGAGAACCCTGGAGATGACCTCTCTGCACACCACTGTGATCCTGGTTTGCTTGGAAGATGATAGCCTTAAGAGGGAGTTAGTTTATCTTAAAGGACATGATGGGAAAGCAGAAACTCCTAAGAGATGCAGGAGCCTGGTCATTTACAGATCCTTGGCTCATCATCAGCATCACCCTTGCCTAAAAGCAACTGGGAACAATTTCAGGTGTCTTTTGTCCTTTTTCTCCCACAGTATCACTGAGTCCCCTGGGTGGCCGGTAGTCAGAGATGTCATTCCATGGAATTATTCCAATCTCTGCTGGAAAAGGCACCAAGCAGCCTGCAGTGCAGCAAGTAAGCATCTAACACTCTTCTTAGTGATATATGCAAACCAAATCAGACAGCAGCAAATCGTATTATGGACATTACTGCTAATATGGCTAAGTGCAGACGTACAAACTTATCCTCAATTATCTCCAAGATCACAGAACACAGTTTGGGAATCGGAACTTGAACTCGGATGCAGAATGCAGATTTTAAGAGCAGCTGCAGTGGCCAAATGTTTTATTCTCTAAAGCTGCAAAATCTCACACTCACCAACATCCATTGAAATTTGGAGCGAGGTGTTGTTAGATTTAGCAGCTAATTTCAAAGCTGCAGTCAAATGCATAATGCAAGTGAGCAATAGCTAGATATGTGGCCTATATTGGTAGTTATATATATGGTCTCTATATAGCTATATATAAAAGTCTTAAAAATGGAAAGTGTAATGCTGGTGGTCAACAAAAGAGGTTTAAAGACTCCCTCCCAAGGCAAATCTTAAAAAATGTAGTATAAACACCAACAATTGGGAAACACTGGCCTGCGAGCGCTCCAGTTGGAGAGCAGCCTTTACCAAAGGTGTCATGAGCTTTGAAGACATTTGAACTCAGGACGCAAGGGAGAAACATGCTAAGAGAGCCAGTGTGGTGTAGTGGTTAAGAGAGGTAGTCACGTAATCTGGGGAACCAGGTTCGCGTCTCCGCTCCTCCACACGCAGCTGCTGGGTGACCTTGGGCTAGTCACACTTCTGTGAAGTGTCTCAGCCCCACTCACCTCACAGAGTGTTTGTTGTGGGGCAGGAATGGAAAGGAGATTGTTAGCCGCTTTGAGACTCCTGTTTTTTTTAAAAAAATAATTTTTATTAAGGTTTCAGTAAAAAGTTAAACAGAAAAACATAAAAAAGAAATACACAAATACAAATACACAGTACATAATCCAAAAAAAGAAGAAAAACACAGAGAGCAGAAAACAAAAAGAAAGGAACAGAACAATTAAAAACAATATCACCTTTTCATTTCCGTTTTTAAATTTACTTATTTTCTGGACTTCCTCATACCTCCCTCTTTTGTATTCCAGTCCAAATTGTTTGTCCAGCAATTTCTTTTCCATTTTTTTAATCCCAATCTTTAATCTGAATATAATATAGCATTAATATTTTACCTCTTAAGTACCAAATTTCCATTTCATTAAATTTCTTTAATCTTAATCTTTAATCTTTGTCTAACTATAACTTTATCCTGTACAGCTGGAAACCACTTATTTTCAATCCAACATCACTCTAACATTCTTTAATTTTGCAGTGTTTCTGTAGGTAGTCTTTGAATTTCTTCCAATCTTCCTCCACCGACTCTTCTCCCTGGTCACGGATTCTGCCAGTCATTTCCACCAGTTCCATATAATCCATCAATTTCATCTGCCATTCCTCCAGCGTTGGAAGTTCTTGTGTCTTCCAATACTTTGCGATGAGTATTCTTGCTGCTGTTGTTGCATACATAAAGTTCTATCCTTTTTTAACACCATTTGGCCGACTATGCCCAGGAGAAAGGCCTCTGGTTTCTTGGGGAAGGTATATTTGAATACCTTTTTTAATTCATTATATATCATTTCCCAGAAAGCCTTAATCTTTGGGCACGTCCACCAAAGGTGAAAAAATGTACCTTCAGTTTCTTTACATTTCCAACATTTATTATCGGGCAAATGATAGATTTTTGCAAGCTTGACTGGGGTTATGTACCACCTGTATATCATTTTCATAATATTCTCTCTTAAGGCATTACATGCCGTAAATTTCATACCTGTGGTCCACAACTGTTCCCAGTCAGCAAACATAATGTTATGTCCAACGTCTTGTGCCCATTTAATCATAGCCGATTTTACCGTTTCATCCTGAGTGTTCCATTTCAGCAGCAAGTTATACATTCTTGACAAATTCTTAGTTTTGGGTTCTAACAGTTCAGTTTCTAATTTTGATCTTTCCGCCTGGAAGCCAATTTTCCTGTCCAATTTAAATACCTCCATTATCTGAAAATAATGAAGCCAGTCTCGCACTTTGTTTTTTAGTTTTTCAAAACTTTGCAATTTCAGTCTATCTCCATCTTGTTCCAAAATTTCCCAATATTTCGGCCATTTGACTTCCATATTGACCTTTTTCAAGGCTTTCGCTTCCATTGGTGACAGCCACCTTGGAGTTTTATTTTCTAACAAATCCTTATATCTTATCCATACATTGAACAGCGCTTTCCTGACAATGTGGTTTTTAAATGCTTTATGTGCTTTGACCTTATCATACCATAGATATGCATGCCATCCAAATACATTGTTAAAACCTTCCAAGTCCAAAATGTCAGTGTTTTCAAGAAGTAGCCATTCTTTCAGCCAGCAAAAATCTGCTGATTCATAGTAAAGTTTGAGGTCTGGCAGGGCAAATCCACCTCTTTCCTTAGCATCCGTTAGTATTTTAAATTTTATTCTGGGCTTCTTGCCCTGCCAGACAAATCTAGAAATATCTTTCTGCCACCTCTTGAAACAATCCATTCTGTCCACAATTTGCAAAGTTTGAAACAAAAACAACATTCTAGGCAATACATTCATTTTATCGCAGCAATACGGCCCAGCAATGAAAGCTTCAAATTTGACCAAATTTCTAAATCTTTTTTCACTTCAGTCCAACATTTTTCATAATTATCTTTAAATAAGTTCCCATTTTTTGCTGTCATGTTAATCCCCAGGTATTTAACTTTCTTAACCACTGTTAAACCTACCGCTTTGAGACTCCTGAAGGGGAGTGAAAGGCGGGCTATCAAATCCAAACTCTTCTTCTTCTTCTAAGAGGAAGGCACGTTTGGCAAACCCTCACCGTGATCAACTCCCTCCCGGAAATCTATGTCCCCACTGTGGAAGGATGTGTGGATCCAGAATTGGCCTCCACAGTCACCTATGGACTCATTGTTAAAACCGTGTTTATGGAAAACAATCTTGCTCAGCTACTAGTAATAGCCAAAGAAGAGGAAGATTTCTAGAAGTTTGAAATCTAGTGTAATACTCTCCAGCTAATGGACCATCAGCCCATAGCTCTCACCCCTCCTCCATTTTTATTTTTCATGCACTGTGCTTGTACAAGGTTTTGTGCATGCATGTTATATGGTTTAATTCACATAAAAATTGGAAAATGCCTGTGCGTATTAATGAAGATTTAAAATGGAGAATGTGTATTGCTAACATTTCCCACAGTAGTTTTCTAAGGGACTCTAAGCTCCTTAATACGCTAATGATTACCTGTTGATTGTTCTCTAGCTCTAAACTTAATGCAACCTTTGATCACATGAAAAGGGTATTGAGTTGCAAATCTGCCAATTTGAAAGGGTTTATTTTATTCTTTGGTAGATGTACAAAAAGAAAAACGCACACACCAATAAATAACTTTTAGAAAGGGGCAAGATTAGGACAAGCACTGGCTCCTCCTCCTCCTTAAGCTTGGTGACAACAACATTGTCAGGGGAAACAGGGACATTCCAGGATAAAATCAGAAGCCAGGATGGCTTTTGCAATTCAAGGACTGCCCCTGGAAAATCGGGACACTTGGAGGATATGTTAGTTGAATCTGGGCCTGAGCCTATATGGACCTAGAATGATGCAATTCGGCCCATGAGCAGTTTCCCCTGGCTAAATGCATGGGCTAATGTGCATTATAAGTATGACTCACAAATGCACAATCCATTCCATAAGGTTTAATTACTGAACGTCAAGCAAAAATTCAGAAGGGGAAGCTTTCCTCTCCCATGCCTAGAAAAGGGTGGATTTCTGCTTGTCACATAGCTGTGAAAGCTACAGGGACCTTGCCAGAAAAGTTGGCAATCGTACCCTGTCTAAATTACCATTCAAGGAGAAGAACGGTACATTTTGATTCACCCTGCCAGCTCCTTATCCTTTTCGGTCTGCCCCCATTGCTTCTGCAGACAGCTGCACATTCAGAAGCAGAGCTTTGCAGCTAAATGCTCAGCCTCTGGATCAAATGCCCCATTTGCCTTATGAGTGGGCTGGCCCTTATCATACATTGCAACGAGACTCTTACTCTTGTAATTGCTGGTGTTTGCCCCACACAAGTACCTAACGCTACCTCTAATCGCCGCCTGTTGACACTGGAATGACACCAGCCAACCGTCTGTTTTCTTTGGCAGGGGTAAGAGATTCGCAAGAACTTTACTGAGCAGAACATACGATGGATGTACAGTTCCCTCGCAGACCGACATACGCTCAGGGAAACCCAAGTGGCCTGTTGAGGAAAGATGGAAAAACCAAGAAGTGGCTTATTTCCACTCGGAAGATGGGATGTACACTTTCTGCATGGATTGTCAACACCTGGAGAGAGAGGGAGAGAGCGCACGACTTCACGCTTGGAAGCTCCTGTATTCAAATTTGCTTATCAATGTAATAAAAAGAAGCATATTCACTACCTTGATGACTGGGAAATGTTTTACTGGAAACAAATAAAACCAGACAATCACAGTGTAAAATGGCCTCATACAATTTCATTCTCTGGTATTGCACATTTGTATTTTTATGGCATGACTACAATTAGGCAGTTATTTTTGCTTCAAGAGACACCGGGTGGTTGCGGGAGGGGAGGAGGGCATGGGGCTGATAGCATATACCATCCATGCGAAAAAAGAAGAAATCTCTTCAGAGTCTCAGCTGTCACTGAAATCTGAAATCCCATACAATGAAAGATGGCTTTGGGTAAGGGAGACATGTCAAGTAAATGCTCAAAGAAGAGGTCCCTTAAGGCAGGAGACTTCAGCCTTTCAGACAAAGGGCCCACCCACCTTTTGCCCTAACCTGACACCCAGGGCTATTTCCTCCTCCATTCGGTCTTCTTCTAGCCTCCCCCCCCCCAGTTCCATTCTTCTCTTAATCTCCATTTCTTGCCTACTCCTCCTCCAAAAACAAGGAGTATAAAATGATGATGCCAGCCATAGACACTAAGTATGCAGAGCCCTGGGTGCCCAGGCACCCACAAATTTCAAATGAAGGGGCCGGGCACCCCAAGTTTCTATTCGGTGGTGTGTGCATACCCCAAAGAGTGTGTTAATGACATCAGTACGCTGACGTCATGCATGCACACACGCCGCAGGGTGTACCAACGTCACACATGCATGTGCGCACGTCACAGTGATGTTGGCATGCCCTGGGCACCCATTGCCATGGGGGGAAGGCAATGTGCCTGATTCCAACAGTAGGCCTTAGGAAATCCTCCCCAGTCCCCATCTGGGTGCTCCAATTCACCCACTGAGAAAGCTTGCTGGGTTCCCTTCCACCCCATAACACTTCACATTCACACAACTCCACGTTCTCACAGAAGAAAACAAAGCACCCAGCACTTACTGCAGGTGTCACAACTTCAAAATGCCAAGCCTTCCGAGGAGCCACTCAGTCTGGAGTTAATACTGTGGTACCTCGCACTGGCGGAGGAAGAGGGGGGCGGGGGGAGCGCACCGCCCCTGGCACCACGATCCTGGTGGGGTGCCATCACGGCTGTCCCCCCCTGCGCTGGGCGCCATGCCCCCACAGGCAGTGCGTCATGCCCCCGGGACGCGCACCAGGCCCCTGGGATGCGTGCCCACCATGCCTCCGCCCCTGGTGCTGGAGCATAAAGCTCTGCCACTGGTACCTCATGTTACGTATTGTCCCCCTTATGAATGCTTCAGATTACACGCTCTGCTAACTCGGAAGTAGATGCCCATTGCTGCGAACTTTGCCCCAGGATGCGAGCGGAAGCCACGCTCCAGCGGTGCGGCAGCAGCGGGAGGCGCCATTAGCAAAAGCGCGCCTCATGTTACAAGCAGTTTCCGGTTATGAACGGACCTCCGGAACGGATTAAGTTCGTAACCAGAAGTACTGTTGTGCCATGCGCTGATGAAGTAAACGCATCAATGACAGAGTAGCCAGATAGCACAGGCAGGCAAAACTCCTACACCTTCCAGCAGTTGTCATGGGCAGATGAGACAATCCTCCCTTCTACACAACTTTTAAGGAGACAGGGGTCCTTCCTATGGAGCTTTACATCTGGCCACTGTCTTAACAAATGATAATGAAAGCCTGTCATTGTGAAAGTGCTTGGTCTTGATCAGGCATAGGCAAACTTGGCCCTCCAGATGTTTTGGGACTACAACTCCCATCATCCCTAGCTAACAGGACCAGTGGTCAGGGATGAGGGGAATTGTAGTCTCAAAACATCAGGAGGGCCGGGTTTGCCTGTGCCTGGTCTTGATGGACCTTGTAAATACCAGAGATATTCTTCTATGTTCAACAAAGGATCTGTTTCTAGTTGGTGGTACTCAGCTAGATGAAAGATTTCTGGCACTAGTACAGTGGTACCTCGGGTTAAGAACTTAATTCATTCCGGAAGTCCGTTCTTAACCTGAAACCGTTCTTAACCTGAGGTACCACTTTAGCTAATGGGGCCTCCCGCTGCCGCCACACGAATTCTGTTCTCATCCTGAGGTAAAGTTCTCAACCCAAGGTACTACTTCCAGGTTAGCAGAATCTGTAACCTGAAGCGTTTGTAACCTGAAGTTTTTGTAACTCAAGGTACCACTGTAAATTGCATATTGCACCTGCAACTGATCAGGTTATTTTGGCCCTTGAAGCAGAACATCCCAGGAGTGCCTTTCTCCCTCCCTGGCAGTAAATATATGACGGTGATGATGGTGCTAACAATTAGCTGCCCTTTCATGAAACTTACAAATCAGCTGCCTGAGGTAGCTGCCCCAGAATTTAGGCATGGATTAAGCAAGGTATCCAGTTTATAGCTGTTGTATATAAGGAACCACGTATGCTCTGAAGATATACAATGCAGCAAGTTTTCTGAAGCTAAGCAGGGTTGAGTCTGGACAGTGTCTGGGTGAATCCCAAGAGAACAGAATCCCAATACAGCAGAAAGGCAAGATAGGGATAAAATAAATCTACACCTGCAGATTGTGGGACAGATTCAACTACCGTATTTTCCCGTGTGTAAGACTAGGTTTCCCCCCCTAAAAAAATAATGTCAAAAAAGGGGGCGTCTTATACTCTGAGCCATCTCCCCTCCTTTCTTAAATCTGAGTCCCCCAAAATAGTCTTATACATGGGGGCGTCTTATAGACGGGAAAATACGGCAATCCGTGCACAACTTTTGCATCTGCAGCGGAACACTGTCTCTCTCCTCCCCCTGTGCATGTCCAGTGCCTTTCCCAAAACTGTTCCAGAGTGTGATGGCCTGGGATTCAGAGTCGGATGCTGAACCTGAGGAATCCCAGCCTGCACAGGATTCCCCGCCTCCAGGACCAGCTGAGCCGGGGCTGGGGCTGGGGCATAGGAATTCTCTTTGATAAAAGCCAAGGCCATTGCTCCTCAGGCTGGGTTTCCCTCCCTTGCTCTCCGAATAATCAACAAAACTCGTTTGTATAAACTGAAGGGTTCTGCCGCTGCAAAATGTTTGAGCAAAATGTTTGAGCAAAATGCCGCTGGGAGAGATCATCAGGGGGTTTGGGTTGGGTGTTCATCAGTATGCAGATGATACCCAGCTCTACCTCTCTTTTAAATCAGAACCAGTGAAGGCAGTGAAGGTCCTGTGTGAGTGTCTGGAGGTGGTTGGAGATTGGATGGCGGCTAACAGATTGAGGTTGAATCCTGACAAGACAGAAGTACTGTTTTTGGGGGACAGGGGGCGGGCGGATGTGGGGGACTCCCTGGTCCTGAATGGGGTAACTGTGCCCCTGAAGGACCAGGTGCGCAGCCTGGGAGTCATTTTGGACTCAGCTGTCCATGGAGGCGCAGGTCAATTCTGTGTCCAGGGCAGCTGTCTACCAACTCCACCTGGTACGGAGGCTGAGACCCTACCTGCCTGCGAACTGTCTTGCCAGAGTGGTGCATGCTCTAGTTATCTCCCGCTTGGACTACTGCAATGTGCTCTACGTGGGGCTACCTTTGAAGGTGACCCGGAAACTGCAATTAATCCATAACGCGGCAGCTAGACTGGTGACTGGGAGTGACCGCCGGGACCACATAATACCGGTCCTGAGAGATCTGCATTGGCTCCCAGTATGTTTCCGAGCACAATTCAGTGTTGGTGCTGACCTTTAAAGCCCTAAATGGCCTCAGTCCAGTATACCTGAAGGAGCGTCTCCACCCCCATCGTTCAGCCCGGACACTGAGATCCAGCACCGAGGGCCTTCTGGCGGTTCCCTCATTGCGAGAAGTGAGGTTACAGGGAACCAGACAGAGGGCCTTCTCGGTAGTGGCGCCCGCCCTGTGGAACACCCTCCCTTCAGATGTGAAGGAAATAAGCAGCTATCTTCTTTTTAAAAGCCATCTGAAGGCAGCCCTGTTTAGGGAAATTTTTAATATTTAATGCTGTATTGTTTTTAACATTTGATTGGAAGCCGCCCAGAGTGGCTGGGGAAACTCAGCCAGATGGGCGGGGTATAAATAATAAATTATTATTATTATTATAAGGAGCACGACGCCATGCTATTGAGAACGAATTCTGAAGCCGAAGAAAGATGGAGTTTGGTTGCCCTTTCCTGAAGAGGGATCAGTTTTCCATCATTCAGGGAAATTGTTAAGCGAGATGCATCCATAGCTCCCAGTGAATATGGGATTTATTTGGAATCTTTACCCCTTCACAGTTCTTGAGGATTAGAGCCAGAAACTCATTCATTCTGAATCCCATCCCTGGCAATATTCTGAAGCCAATTTTGCCTCCTCAGCTTGCTTAAAAAACACTGGATTTGAGATCACGCCACAGGATTTATTTGCAAGCAGAAATAAATCTTGGTTTATTTATTTATATTCCTAAAGCCATCTGTATGCAAAATCACTCATTATTGTAACAACTTTTTCTTTTTCCTTTTCCTTTTCTTTTCCTTTTTTTTAAGCCGTCACATGAAATGGCTGGAAGACTGTGGAAATATGGATTCAATCAGCAGCCCCTGGCTATTTTCTTTCTGCTTCAGTTATGAAAGGAGATGAGGTGTTTAAATTACTAGATTTCACATGTGGAACAAATAAGTCTGAAGGAAATAGCATCTGACTCCATCCAAGTTTGAATTACAAATTATTCTAGGACCCACTAGAGAAAGAGAGCAGTGGGGGAGACTAGAGAGAAAGAAAACACATTTGGGGAGATTCTTTGTCAAACAAAACAGCTTTTCAATCACTTTGTGGGCCCAATTTCTTCCTTATGTTGTATTAGCCAAGCAGTGCAAAGGCTCAGGGGCTCTTGTTGATACCACACTCGATGACTACTTATATTATGTGGTGATATATTTATCTGGCAATAAACATATCATGATGTTTAGGGATCTTTCTTCGTAAGGAGAGACACGGTTGTCTTGCCAAATGCAAGGTGGTTCTTTTAAAAAGAGATTCAGAAGTAGTACAAACACAAGTGAGTGAGAAGACTGAAGATTTTATTCTAAACAGCAAGCAATATATACATCACCAAGCAAGCACTTTAATCTGCCACTTGGAAGCCCTCAAGAAGTGGCGAAGTGACCCCCCCCCATAGCCTCAGGTTGCCATCTGTCCGTGCACGAGCTTCTCCCTCTCTATGCCCAAAACCATCCAATTTATAGATAGATAGATAGATAGATAGATAGATAGATAGATAGATAGATAGATAGATAGATAGATGATAGATAGATAGATAGATAGATAGATATAGATAGATGATAGATAGATTAGATAGATAGATATAGATAGATAGAAAAGCAATGACAAACGTAGACAGCATCTTAAAAAGCAGAGACATCACCTTGCCGACAAAGGTCCGTATAGTTAAAGCTATGGTTTTCCCAGTAGTGATGGATGGAAGTGAGAGCTGGACCATAAAGAAGGCTGCTTGCCAAAGAATTGATGCTTTTGAATTATGGTGCTGGAGGAGACTTTTGAGAGTCCCATGGACTGCAAGAAGATCAAATGTATCCATTCTTAAGGAAATCAGCCCTGAGTGCTCACTGGAAGGTGAGGCTCCAAGACTTTGGCCACCTCATGAGAAGAGAAGACTCCCTGGAAAAGACCCTGATGTTCGGAAAGGTGGAGGGCACAAAGAGAAGGGAACGGCAGAGGACGAGATGGTTGGACAGTGTTCTCGAAGCTACCAGCATGAGTTTGACGAAACTGCAGGAGGCAGTGGAAGACAGGAGTGCCTGGTCCATGGGGTCACGAAGAGTCGGACACGACTAAACAACTAAACAACAACAACAACAGATGATAGATAGATAGATAGATAGATAGATAGATAGATAATGATGATAGATAGATGATGATAGATAGATAGATGGCCCGTATAGCTTGCCTGACTGGCTGTGTGCAGATTATTCATTAGCTACCCTCTCCCAATGCCTTTCTTCAGGGGTGCCCAAACGTTTTTCAAAGAGGCCAGATTTGATGAAGTGAACATTCGTGAGGACCGACCAATGTTGTTGAGCTTTTTTTAGGATTGAAGTTTTAGGACCGATTTAGGACCGATTTTAACCCAGGATATACTGCCACAGGGGTTTGGATTAAATCGATCGGTGGGCCGGTTTGGGCCCCTGAAACGGACTTTGGGCATTCTCCAAACAATGTCCATCATCAAAGAAGGTTATCATCACTATCTCTTCCTTCTAACAGATTAGGACATTAAAGGCTGTTCTCAACCATCAAAGAGCTTAACAGGAGATAGGGAAAAGGAAGGAACAGGGGGCAGGAAGAGGGCAACTGAGCTAGACCACTAACTCCTCGAAATACAAATATCTTCTGGATAGATTGCCCATACAATGGTAAAGGATGGACTGTTCTCCCACTGTGCCTGTAGGAAAGACTCACCTTATCCAAGGGACGTATCTTTAGACATGTCTCTATTTGTGTTTGTTTTCTGTACAGTGAGTTCAGATAGTTCTCTCATCTAGCTTTCTCACATGCTCTGAAACCAATACAGCTTAAAGGTAAAGGTAAAGGGACCCCTGACCATTAGGTCCAGTCGTGGCCGACTCTGGGGTTGCGGCGCTCATCTCGCTTTATTGGCCGAGGGAGCCGGCTTACAGCTTCCGGGTCATGTGGCCAGCATGACTAAGCCGCTTCTGGCGAACCAGAGCAGCGCACGGAAACGCCGTTTACCTTCCTGCCGGAGCAGTACCTATTTATCTACTTGCACTATGACGTGCTTTCGAACTGCTAGGTTGTCAGGAGCAGGGACTGAGCAATGGGAGCTCACCCCGT